GCGCCTCTGCAGTTCTGCTTCGTACCACGGGAGGTCCCCAGGGCTCAGCAGATGGGACAGCGAGGGGACGCCGGGCTCCGTTCCTGGCCACAGCCTGTGCCGGGGAGGTCACCACTGAGTGCTATGGCTTTGTCGTGGTTGGGGGTCCACCGGCCTTTGGGGGACCCCCGGCTCGCAGGACAGCCGGGCGTTGGGCAGGAGACAACTTCAGAGCGAGGGGCACCACGGGCCGCCAGATCCGGGGAGCAGCGTGCAGGGAGAGAAGATAACCTGCGAGGAAAAAAGGGAAACTGAACCAGGAATGTCTGGAAATGGGGGTGAAATCAAGGGCTCTTAGTCCTGAAGAGAGTTAATCTCGGGTAAAAGAGCCGCGCTGGAGACCGCAGGGTGTTCGGGGTTGGTGCCTGTGGGACAGTGTCCTCAGGGATCATTGGTGAATGATGCACATGCGGCAGTGGGGAGTGATGGAGCATCCTCCTCCCCCAGCCCAGCGCCCCCCCGATGTATAAGGGACCCTCTGGGCTCCTCCACGTTTAACCCCCCTCCAGCTGCTGGAGAGGAGACCTCTCCAAATGGCTTAAACCCAAGCGGTCCTACCCCGGCATTCTGCTGCCCTGCGTCCACCCTGCCATGGCCAGCCCCCCCACCGGTCCTGGTCCCCACGCTGTCCCCCACGCTTGCCTCTGCCTCTGCCACACCTTCTGCTGACCCATCCATGCATCCCATAACTCCTCCTGCCCATCCAAAGTTCCTTCTCTCACAGGGAGGTTTTTCCTGCTAAAAGATGGCAGATTTTGGTCTCAAATTGTCTCATTTCTTACCTACTGGCTCCAGCAGCTTAATGTGCAGGAAAACCTCCCTCCCTGGTGTGCTGCCAGGAGAGTCCAGTGCCACCGTTGTAGCACCCAAAAGTGCAGGTATTCATACTGGTCAACAGCCAGGATCCCACTGGGACCCATCACTGGGAGCGGGGGACAAAGCACAGAGGTGACTGCAGCTATGGAGCTCCTGCAGGGTTTGGGACTTGTTTTGTTTTGGGGAGGAAGCAGTCCCAGGCTTCACGATCCATTCCTCCTCTAAAGGAAATCTCTTCAAGACCCCCACATTGGTGACATTAAAAAATGTCACTGCAGTCAGGGCACCCCAGAATCTTGGAAACTCTCCCTAACACCATTACAATTACTCAGATCTTTGCAAGAATGTGGGAAGAGCACCAGGGATGGAGCAGGAAAGAAAAGCAAGGATGTGGGGGGAGCTGCCATGTGGGGAGGGGACGCGTCCCAGCGGGGTACAGGTGGTGTGAGCACGGGCATCTCTGCATCCCACCATCAAGCAGCTCCCGGCTGCCTGTGATTCTCCGGCCGCCGGGTTTGGAGGCACCGCTGGGGCTGGAGCCATTCCCCAGCACCATGTGCGAGGCTTTGGTTGCCATAACAACTGGATTCAGGCTTCAAAAATAGTAACTTATTTTTCATTCAATTTGCCTTTTGCCCTCTGAGACAGATCTATTTCGGGACTAATGGTTCACTTCAGGTGTCCCTTGCCAGCACCGTGAGCTGGGGGCTTCAGGGCTGGGGGTTATTTTGTTAAATGCAGTTTATCGCCGTTTTCTTTCCCTCTCCTATTCAGGCCCGGAGAAAGGTAAAGCAGGGCACAGGCATGATGGAATAGCCTTTGCCAAAACCTCATCATCTAGAAGGCTGGGGAAGGAACTTGAAAAAAATCTTCCCGGCTAAGTGGCAGAGCGTGGGAGAGGTTTTCGGAGATGATCTCACTCTGCATTTCAGCTTGGACCTGCTGCTATCAGCTAGGGCTTGGCTGTTCTGGATATGCTGGGGAGGTCCTACCAAAGATGGGGCTTATTTTGTTCCCCCCACATCTCCTGGATCCCACTGTCACCAGCCTGGTCCCCGACAGCATCTTCCATCCATGAAGGGAGGCTGACCCTGCTGCCAGCTCCTGGCATCAGGGCACCGGGGTGTTTCTTGTGTGTGTTGAGGACACTCCACAACGCATCAGGCACGTGGAGCATCACCCCGTTTACATCCCCTGGGGAGATGAGCTGCTTTTGGAAGGGGTGGCAGAGAGTGCCAGGATTAATTCATGCCTTGAATTGAGGCACCCCTTAATTTTTGTCTGGATTGGCTTTTGGCAGGGGTGTGTGCGTGTGTGTGATTTCCCATGGAAATGGCCACATGAGCATAACCCTTCATGTTGAGATGTTCTCAGCTGTTCCACCTTCCTCCCATCAATGTTATTACAGCATCAGCAAGGAGAGGTTGCACTGGGGAGACCAGGGCTCTCCTCCTCCAGGTGCTGCTGGCCTTATGTCACCTTTCCTGTCCCTCAGCCGCTGGCCTGAAGGTGCCTGCAGCCTCTGGCAGAAACGATGGTCATCTGTCTGCAGACAAACCCCCATCGCCCTTTGCAGCCCCTCTCTGAGCTGCCCAACCTCGGATGTATGTGGGGATCTCACCTGAGAGCCTCCCCGGGTGATGAAGAGGATGGAGGGGTGAAGGCTTAGGATGGAGCCGGGGTTAGGATCCTGGTGTCTCCAGTCCTTGCCTTGCTGTCACGCTGCTTCCTCTCCCTTCTCCCCAGCAGGGAGGGACGGTGGGATGCTGGTGGGAGTCGTGTCCCCGCCCACGGGCACCCCACAGCGATGGGGCTGGGGCAGAGCCGCCCACCCCTGCCGGGGCCCCCTGGAAAATAATGGGGAAAAAAAACCCCAAAGAACCAACAAAATAAAAATCATTAAAATCAAATAAATAACAACAAAGCCAAACAAAGCAACTCCCCGGGGAGGTCGGGGCGGACTGGCCCTGCCCTGGGGCAGGCGGGGACATCTCGGTGTCCCTCCTGGGGGACCCGGCCGTGGGCAGC